AGTGTTGTGAAGACTTGTGGGAAGAGGTTGGCTATAAGGAAGAGGAGAGAAATGAATGAGAGAAGAAAAGGGAGCTAATCAAGGGATGGAAAAATGCCTTAAAATCTAACATGTCATGTTTTGAAAAGCTTTGGGAAAAATAAAAAACATAAACCATGCCCTTTCCGGAAGAAACCAAGTAATCTAAGGAAGATATTTTATTTCAGATAAGTAGAGTGAGATGAATTTTCTCCGGTCTCAAAAAAGTGAACTTTGCCCAGCCAGAGTGGCTCGGTTGGCTGAGCGTGGTCCTGTGCTCTAAAAGGTTGCAGGTTCGATTCCTGGTCAGGGTACATTCCCAGGTTGTGGGTTCTAGTCCCTATCGGGACATGTACAGAGGGCAACCGATCCATGTTTCTTTCTCACATCGATGTCTCTGTCTCTCTGTGTCTCTCTCTCCCTTCCTCTCTCTGAGCATGTTCTTGGGTAAGGATTTTTTTAAAAACAACTGAACTTTATTTTACACAATAGAAGCATAAAAGACCTTTGAAATTCCACATAGAACTTGATATCAGACATCAAAGGGGAGTGGTATCAGGTTGATTAATATCAGCCTCCCTTCACCAACACAGACAGCAGTGTCTCAGAAAACTGAGTCCCTCCAGGGCAGGGACAACATCTATTAATCTTGGAGTCCCCAACCTTAGCACATCGTTTGGTGTATTGCCATTATTTTTTTTTAACAAGTAAAATGATTAGAGTTAGTCCCTTCCTGCACATCACAGCACTAATTCAGTTGGAAGAAATTATTTGAAAGCAACTGACAAGAGAAGGAATGTGATATGAAGTAGACGATTGAGGTTTTCAAAGGACACATCTCGAAATTTTTCTTCATTCCCAAATTGTTCATTTCACTACATCATATAATTTTCCACGCACAAAAAAACATACGCACTATGAGTAGAGAACAACAAAAGTATATTGAGATTCAGATGTTGATATTAAGTAATGAGAATCATTCTTCAACTAAATTGCAAATTGCTAACTTCTTGACTGCTATTGTATACATAATCTCAGGAAATCATCCTATCTAATGGTAATTGGCATACGACTGCTACCCTTCCCATTGGCTAATCAGGGAGATATGCAAATTAACTGCCAGCCAAGATGGCGGCAAGCAGCCAGGCAGCTGACTTGAACAGGGAGGCTTGCTTGCTTCAGTGACGGAGGGAGCCAAGCTTCCCCGCCTGCCTTGCCGGCCTCTCAGCTGCACTGTAAGCAACATTGTAACAAATATAGAAGCTAAACAAAACCCCCGGCTTCAGCCAGCATGACCGCAACATTGTTTCAAATACAGAAGGGTAAACAAAGGCCAGAAACCTGCTTTCAGCAGCAGAGGTCTCATAGCTGGAGCCGAGCCTCAGAGCTAAAGCTGGCCCAGAATTTTAAAAAAGGAAAAAAGGACAGGTTGGGAGCTTCAGTCACCCGCCAGCCTGAAAATGGCCCTCAGCCCCTCACCCAGGCTGGCCAGGCACCCCAGTGGGGACCCCCACCCTGAAGGGTGTGTGACCAGCTGCAAACAGCCATCATCCCCTCACCCAGGCTGGCCAGGCACCCAAGCGGGACCCCCACCCTGAAGGGGGTGTGACCAGATGCAAATAGCCATCATCCCCTCACCCAGGCTGGCCAGGCACCCAAGCAGGACCCCCACCCTGATCCAGGACACCCTTCAGGGCAAACCAGCCAGCCCCCACCCGTGCACCAGGCTTCTATCCTATATAGTAAAAGGGTAATATGCCTCCCGGCACCGGGATCAGCATGACGGGGCAGCGACCAAACCCCCTGATCGCCCTGCGGCTCTGTGTGTGACAGGGTATGGAGCCCCAACCCCCCTGATGGGCCCTGCTCTGTGTGTGATAGGGGGCAGCGCCCCAACCCCCTGATAGGCCCTGCTCTGTGCGTGACAGGGGGTGGCGCTGCAACCTCCCTATCGACCCTTCCTTGAGTGTGACAGGGGGCGGTGCCCCAACCCCCCAATCGACCCTACCCTGAGCATGACTAGGGGTGGCATCGAAACCTCCCAATCCACCCTGCTCTGTGCATGACAGGGGCACCGCCCCAACTCCCCAATCGGCCCTGCTCTGAGCCCGACCAGGGGCTGCACCTAGGGATTGGGCCTGCCCTCTGCTGCCCGGGAGCAGGCCTAAGCCAGCAGGTCATTATCTCATGAGGGGTCCCAGACTTCGAGAAGGCACAGGCCGGGCTGAGGGACCTCCTCTCCCCCCGGAGCGCACAAATTTTTGTGCATCTGGCCTCTAGTTTGAATATAATCAGATTGGCAAATACTAAAACATGAATGTTTATAGGCTACTATGTTTTATTTAGAAGATGAGGAAGAAGATATTTTTTTTATTCTAGTATTAGAACATTCTCTGTCCTGCCTCTGTTGAGATTATAAATTTCCTGAGGACAGATATGACTTACACTTCTTTTTTAATCTGAGGACATGTATGTGTGTTGTTGTTGTTGTTTTATGAGAGAGAGAGAGAAAAAGAGAGAGAGAGAAACATTGATGTGAGAAACATCAATTAGTTGTCTCTCATACGTACCCTGACTAGGGATCGAACCCACAACCTAGGTATGTGCTCTCACTGGGAATTGAGCCCGCAACCTTTTGGTATATGGGACAATGCTCCAACCAACTGAGCCACCCAACCAGGGCATACCCTTCTTTTTTTATCCTCAATTTGCATAGTTTAATATTGTGGACTTTATGGGCATTCAGTAAGTAGTTGATGACTTGGATTAGGTGGAAAAATGTACCAATATGAACACTGTAAAAGTCAGTGTGGATAGGCATAAAATAATTAGAAACACATTCCCATATACAATGAACTTTGTTGATATATTTTCCCAACTCTTTGCTAACATTCCATGATCAGATCTGTAAATTATAAAAGGCCAACCTACAGGCAATACTTTGCAGAATACAGTGACAATAGATCCAATAATAGGAAAATGTAACTGATTTCAGGCCAATCTAATAAAGGACATTTGTAAGTCAAGCCCAGGAAATTGCATTCAAGAGTAATGTTGTAACATTCACTGCAATATGACAGTGGTAACAAATTTTAAAAAGAATATTGAAGCTTCAAACTCTCCAGTTCTTCAGTGATAATGGGATTTCAGGTTACCCCTAACAGAGTAATCAAGCTAAAGAAGCAGCTAAGAGATACATAAAAGGAATCAAAATTGAATAAGGATCCATTAATATTATAGCTTATGTTTCAAAACGAAAAGTGAAAACATGGGGAAAAGGGAGAGTTCTCTGAAGATTGACTGACCGCCTCCAGTGGGTTGAATTTCTTGGATACATCTGGCCAAGTCTAAATGGAGAGATGACATTTGTGTTGAGACTGTTAATTGTCATAGCAATAAATTCAGTAACATTAAGAGAAGGATGGAAGTAATAAATTTAGAGATTATTAAAGGAAGAGACTTTGCTGATAGAAGGTATAAGAAAAGTATTCATTTGCACCTTTCTATTTGAGATTTTTTTGTAAGTGGTGTGATTCCAATGATAAGACCAACCTTGGAAAGGAACAGGTCATGAAAAGGATATTTTGAGTTTAAGGAAATACTTCATACTATGATGCAGAAGTAGGGGGGATATACAGCTTGCTTAATCCAGCCACTGTGCCAGGGTAGAGGCATTTCAGGGCACAGAGGGGAGCATAGTCAACAATGGCTATCAGTCTGTAGGAAAAAGATGCACAAATACTTACTGGCAAAATGTTGTACAGATGACAAAAGCTATACAAATTATAAAGAGCAAAACTTGAAAATTCAGAGAAATGAATGCTTCAAAAATGTACTTGAAAAAGTGTAAGTAAGGTTAAAAGATAGCATTGTGGTATTAAGACAATTTAGATGATTATTTATACCAAGTAGGAAGATGGATGCCAAAGGAACCTATAGACATGAGCTAGGAAAGCACATGGAATTTAATTTCTCTAAAGAAACAAAACTTAAAATGGAAATGTTATACCTGGCAAAGCAGGAGGGTGAAAATTGGCCTTATATAGTTGAAATGTTTGCCTTAGTTTGTCAGTGCAGGATATTTTTTCTCTAATAAACAACCTTGATGAGAATAAATATCTGAACAGAATCTTGAAGTACGTGGAAAATAATGCAGGAACAAAAGAATTATGATGGTGATATAAACCTATTATGCTATTCTAAAATGTTATGAAAAATTAGATCTTAATAACAATACAAATCTTTGGATATTAGAGGGCATTTTGAAACAGAAGAGATGAGATGCAAGAGGATTGTCAATCTGGCGAGATGTATTTTTCTTATGCATAGTTTGGGAATTATGTCGTTTCTTCTAGTATAAACATTGACTCTATTAATAATAAAAAGGAAAGTGTCCCTTCTAATCTGGCCTTTCCTTTCCAGGTATTAGGAATATAATCAATTTCCCCCCAGTGCAGGGGTCAGCAACTTATATCTATTTTTAAATACATTTTTATTGATTTCAGAGAGGAAGGGAGAGGGGGAGAGAGATAGAAACATCAGTGATGAGAGAGAATCATTGATTGGCTGACTCCTGCATGCCCCCTACTGGGGATCGAGCCTGCAACCCAGGCATGTGCCCTTGACTGGAATCGAACCTGGGACCCTTCAGTCCACAGGCTGACACTCTATCCACTGAGCCAAATCAGCTAGGGCGGGGGCCAGCAATTTTGATGGAGACTGTAATTGGGTGAATGTGCAGTTGTTAGAGACTGTGAAATGTAATCATCATTCCAGTGTTTTATTACAGGTATCGTTGCGTTTCCTCCATCTCTTCCATTGTGTGTGACATATTCTATGCATCAACATGCTGAAAGATAGAGTGCTTTCTTTCACTCAAGTGGAAGATATAGGGCAGAATTGACCGTGTAAGTGTGGGGCACTTCCCCCGCATTTTCGTAAGCTTTGTGCTCATAGATTGCATGCTGTGCTTTTTATTTCAGTAACATTTAACAAAACCATGGCCATGGAGGAAATTAAACTCACACAGAATGTCCATAATGAGGCTCTGAGTGCTGATGTTTCAGGTATGGTACAAACTCTGAGTTGCACGTTAAAGAGACAGAAGCCGTCTTTTTCCTGTTTGCAGTTTCCAAAATATCCAGATTTAACCATCACTGACTTGTCCATTAACCTCCACTGCCTGGGGCACAGCAGAGGTACCCAGAAGGATAAGCAAAGCAAAACAGAGACAGCCAGAACAGGTGTTCATGCATCCTCCAACCCAGGGGAAAGCTTCTTAGGCTTTTGTTCTGCACTTAGAGTCTCTCTCCACAAATAATCCTGTCCTGCTTGGTGATCCAGTTTCCTGTTTCACAGGCGTAATAAGCCTGTGCTGAATTAGAAAGGAGAAGGGATTATGAGAATCAGAGTCACCAGCCTCATAAGAAGTGACAGAAACGTCAAAGGGGGCAGAATACTTATTATTCATTATTTATTTATTATTTTATTTTGTTTTGTGGAAGGGTTGGTAGGTGATGTGGGGAAAGGCTGATGGTGATTGTGCCAGGTGAGCTTTAAGTCTGCTCACAAGTTTGAGACTGGGTGGCCTCCACCCCAGAGTACTTATTTTAAAATAGGCACAGATATGTTCAAGGCAGAAGGACCATGCATTGGCACAGACTATCCTGTCTTCTTCAATTTCTCCTCAAGATATCATTTTATTACATCTAAGCTTCATAGGAAAAGCCCCAAAATATCAAGGACAGTTTATATTCTGTTCACTGTATGATCTGTTATAGAAAAATTTCTGGTAAAAATGCTTTTGTTTTAAAATTTTTTATACTAATAGGGATAACATTTAGTTACCCTCATCCTTCAGTAATCTATAATAATAAAAGTGTAATATGCTAATTAGACTGGACAGCTGAATGACCTTCTGGACATCCTTCCAGATGAAGCTGCTGCAGCAGGGGTCAAGGCAGAGGCGGTTAGGGGCGATCAGGCAGGCAGGCAACTGGTTAGGGGTGATCAGGCAGGCAGATGAGTGGTTAGGGGCAATCAGGCAGGCAGGCGGGCAGAGTGGTTAGGGGAAATAAGGGAGGCAGGTGAGCGGTTAGGAGCCAGATTGCGAAAGGGATGTCTGCTGGGCTGAGGGACAGCTAGGAATCGGGCCTAAACCGGCAGTCAGACATCCCCCAAGGGGTCCTGGATTGCGAGAGGATGCAGGCGGGCTGAGGGACACCCCCCCCCCCGCACGAATTTCATGCACTGGGCCTCTATTACCATATAAATGAGAATTATCATAATATAATGCATTGGGTGAGCCCTAAAATATATTTATTCTTATTACTACTGATCAGAACATTTTGATTTTAAACTCCCATTTCAATTTTTTTTTAATTCCTTCAAATGAGTTACATGGAAACCACCAATGATTGGGCTTACCCTACCTTTCTTGGCAGAGATAAAAAGGATATGCATATACTAGTTCGTTCTTGCTAGCTAATTTCCTGGCTGTTATATGTTTTTGTTTTATTTTATGCAGAGCAGTTTCTCTCCCTTTAAAAAAAAATAGCAGGTTGAAATTAGCTTATTTGGATGTTATATACACTTTTCTCTTTTGGAAAGTAGATATCAAAATTAGAGCAAATGAGAACTTTGGAAGACAGTCTGCATTATGCTCGCAGTAAACTTCTCCCCCTCCCTCCTTACCCTCCACTCATCATCACACACCCTGGCCAGCATGACGTGACAGTGTGTTTGTGAAAGCCTAGCCCCAGAACAGCTTATGTGACTCAGGCTATGAAGCTTTTACTACCTCTCTAGGGAGGTTACAAAGTCTGTTAGGTCTCCTTACTTCCTTATTGTGCAGGTTGAGATTTTTTAAAGAAATGTATTTTATTTGTCTTGTTTAGATGATTCCCTTGACTACATTACTTCTTATCTTTCCTTATTGGAAATCACAAATTTACTTTGCTGTGGGATTTTTCTACACAGTTATTTGTTGTCATTTGGAATATAAAGGGATTATTCCTCAAGTTTCTGTTACTTGAACCCCAAACAAACCCAATTTCATTTTGGGTTAGGAAAAAAAAGTATGCATACTGCCATATAGCAGTACACCTGCCACATATTTTCAGCTGCCATTTCTTTGAGATACGAGAAATTGTGCAGCTCATTGGCCACTTTTTCCTGAGGGAATTTGCATTAGAAGAGGTCTTTGATAGTAGAAGTTGCCGCTACTATTTGATTGGGGAAGAAACAGATTCATAATGATCTCATTTTTAATACAGCAAGAAATTTCTATCTGTTTCTTGGATGGAGTAAAAGGTAGTACTTAGAATGGAAGTAGGAAGGAAGGGAGGAAAGGAAGGAAGAAAGAGCTGAACTGCTTAGCACCTGAGAAGAAGTAGGTACATAAAACCTTCATAAGCAGAGCCCTGGTTCTCTACGTATGAGTTTTTAATTTCCTACAGTGCGCCAGGGTCTGTGCGCTAGCGCTGTTTCACAGGTATTTTTCTTACAGCCACGTTCTTATAGTGTCCGCAGAATAGAAAAGAAAATTTGTCCCAATGATGACGCAAAAAACAAAAAGGCAGAAGATTTGTGCCCTAAAAGTCGAAGGGGAAAATAAATGGCATAGAAAAAAATAATATACTTCAAAATTATACCAGTGTATTAAACTTAGGGTACCAGTTTTCATCTTGGTGATTGGTGATTCAAAGTTAGGGTCACCTGAGCAGCCATAGATTGCTTAGCTTCAGTCAAACGTTTCCTACGTTTTTCACTCACCCAGTGGGTTCCCTTGTATTTTATCAGCTTCTGGATTTTTTTTTTTTTTTTAAAGGTTGAGGAGTTAGCAGTGGATGTCTCTGGATTATGGATCATGTATTCATTCATTGTTTTTAGCAAGTATTTGTGGAACATCTGTGTCAGACAGTGTACTAGGCTCTGTAGATACAATGGTGAACAAGATAGACAGACATAGTCTGCCCTCAGTGAGCTTACAGTCCAGAGAACAATGTGATTATTTTTTTAAAAAAATATATTTTATTGATTTTTCACAGAGAGGAAGGGAGAGAGATAGAGAGTTAGAAACATCGATGAGAGAGGAACATCGGTCAGCTGCCTCCTGCACATCTCCCACTGGGGGATGTGGCCGCAACCCAGGTACATGCCCTTGACCGGAATCGAACCTGGGACCTTTCAGTCCGCAAGCCGACGCTCTATCCACTGAGCCAAACCGGTTTCGGCAGCTTCTGGATTTTCGTTTGCGTTTTGGTGGGCTCCTCCTCAGTTTTTCCAGAGCAGAGTGGCTTTTGGGGGAGGTCAGTCTGCACAGCTTGGTGCACAGCCGATAAGACAAATCCTAAAGAGGGCTGTCTCCAGTCTCAGATGCTCCCCCTAAGTTACACTGGCAAGGGAAGACGATCTTAAAAAGCAGAGATGTGGATGAGAATTAATCCAAAACACGACTATCAAGGCCGCAAACTGAAAGTAGGAGAAATGCTAACATTTTGTGGCAAATACTGCTAAGGTCTTTTTCATGCTTTGAGCGGTATGTTGATGTGGGTGTGAGCGACAGGCTCCTTTAGAGAGACCCTGACATTTCTTTCTGCCCTTCCTTTGAAGACTAACAGTATTGGTGCGATTTATTCCTCGCTCCCTCAGAGCTTCTCAGGTTTCCTCCCAGAAAGAAGTTTTCTCTCCACTGAGCTTCCAAGAACAGATTTCACATCACTGAAAGTTAATTTAAACTTGTGACTTTTACGATCCCAAGTTGGGGTAGGGGCTCTTTCCATGGACCACACCTGCCGTAACACAGTAATATTCTTCTCTTCTCATTCATCATTTGGGAATAAAAATGGATTTTCTTTTTACTTCCTTTCAAAGAGTAAGAAACTTTAAAACACTCAGAAGTCTATTTCTCATTTTACCGAAACCATTATAATGAAACAGTTTTGCCTGCATCTTGGTATTACTCTGGCTTCTTGTCTAGCATCCTACATGCCCTATTTGTTGCACGTTCTCCCTTACTTTTTGGCTCAGCACTCAAAGAGAAAGCCAGCCCAGAGCGCCCTCATCCATCACATCACACAAGTGATAAATGGAGCTAATTTACTTTCTGTGGGTTTTTAATTAACCTAGAACATTTTTTATGTGAAATAGTTCTACAAAATAAAATTTTCATTAATTATCAGCTGGGACCCCAGAGCCAAGACAGAATAGGAAGAGAAGGAATGGATAGTCCCTTCCAACATTAACAATGTTAATACAAATAAGCAGAGGGGGAGCATATATCACTCTACACAGGGTCTCCAAGTTGTTCCAGGATAAATGTCACCCAGCAGTTTTTGAATATGCCGACGGTCATTTCACTGATACTTCAAGAAGTCACTTTTACCCGGGCTGGTGTGGCTCAGTTGGTTGGGTGCTGTCCCGTGCAACGAAAGGTTGCCGGTTTAATGCCCAGTCGGGGCACATGCCCTGGTTTTGGGCTTGAGCCCTGGTAAGGGACTGCAGGAGGTAACCAATCAATGTTTCACTCTCATTGATGTCTCTCTCTCTCTGTCTCTGTCTGTCCCTGTTCCTCCCTCCCGCCCCTCCACCCTCCTCCTTCCTCCCTCTCTAAAAATCAATTTAAATTCATCACATAGAGTTGCCAAGAACAAGGGGTTGCAAGTAGGCTTACCATACTGTAGCTTTTATGTATTCCACTGCCTTCCAGAGTTTTTCAACATAAAATTAATGGAAAATTAACAAAGAATGGACTATAATTTTTTTTAAAAGACACTTTTTAGAGCAATTTTAAGTTCACAACAAAGATGAGCAAAACATGCATTTCTTGCCCTCGTAGTGTAATATTTTAACTTAAAAAGTTTACTTTTAGAAAAATAACAACTTTATTGAGCTATAATACGCCATTTTAAAGTACATGATCCTGTGTGTTTTAGTATATTCACAGTTATGCAACCATCACCACTCTCTAATTTCAGAATTAAAATTTACTTTTAAATGAGGAAATTAAAATGCCACTTAGAAAATGGAAAGAAAAACAAATATCCCCCAAAGTCACCATTCCAAC